AATATAGCTCATCACATGCATGTTTATTTGGAAACAAGCCTTTGCATTCAGTGAGGCTTACTCCGCAGTGTTGAGGATTGATCCTTTAAGATGTAAAACTCAATTCTAGTATGTTTTATGTAGCCATGTTAGTATTCTCTTATTGCCAAATCTTTCCTACCAAAAATCAACAGGTTTTGCAAATCTCATGAACCTTGGAATTATTAAACCTCTATGTGTTTTTGTAATCTTTCTCCATAGACAATGGGACTTGGACTCAACTGTGGCTTGTAACTGAATATTATGAGCAGGGCTCTTTGTTTGACTACTTAAACAGCAACACTGTGACAGCTGATGAAATGATTAAGCTGACATTTTCAATAGCCAGCGGTCTAGCACATCTTCACATGGAAATCGTTGGAACCCAAGGTATAACCCTTTTCAGTGCAGTTTACTTTATATTAAAGCCATAAGACTTAAGAGTAACTTGAACAGAAGCCAGAGGGATATATTTAATGTGACAACCAAGCTTAACTCAGTTTAATTGACATCCAGGTCCCAGTTTAACCAGGAATAATTGTTGTCCTCCTCTTCCAGCAGCACTATAATACTTGGCAGCTTTAGGAGAGGTGAGAAATTCCCTTCTCCATTCAATTGAGTATTGTTTGCTCCTCCTCTCTCTGACTTACATGTGGGATTGGCATTGGCAAATTCCATGTAATCATGAAGAAGGCCTTTATCTTGCTTTTTCCACATCCCATTTTCCTTTTGCACTACTTGAATTAACACTTGGATATATTTATAAGTATTTTATAAACAAGTGTGAGAGTAAAGTCTCTTTCACTTTGAACTTGATTCCTGGGGACATCATGGCTATGTCTATAGAGGGATTGCCTGTTTCCAGGATAGAGGACTTTTGCTTTACCCCTCTATAGTCCTCGGATTTCCTGTCCTCTTTTATCAAAATAGTGACTAGTCCCAACCCTACAACACTTAGCTTTCGGAGATTCCAGTGAAATCTAGACTCAGACAATATATGTGGTGCTTTCCTTACAAAGTCCCATGGGGTAGATGTAATTGAGAGGACAGGCCTTTCCACCTGCTGTACCATATCTGCCCAACTGCATGGAGACTGTGCTTTTCGACATCTGAGCCAGCTTTTTTTCTAACTTTGTGCCATTTTGGCTGAAGCCAGAGCAGAGTTAGAACTGGGCTTCCCCCCCCCCATTGCTATTGTAATTCTTGGATTTGAGGTGGTCTGTTCACTTGCTATATCATATCTTCCAGCATCAAAACGCATATATTGCATCCACTGATAGCTGCACAGCTACCCTATTTTGGGTGATTCAGATCCTCCTAGGATGGAGTAATTCTGCAGTCCAGGGTCACTGTCAGAAATATGCTGAGCATCTGGTGGATAAAATTGCTCAGATTCGCTCTGCATTGAACTCCATCCTTGATGCAGATCAATAGAGGTTACGGGATCTGAGTTTTGCATGGTTATCTGAGAAGAGTTTGAACCCCTGAGGAAGTGAACAGAGTTCTTGTACTATTAATTTGGCCATAGTTAGATCCATGTCCCTCCTGGCTACTCAAGGCTGCCCAAGAGAGGATGTGTGGTTGGGTCTGCATCCATCCTTGTTCTTCTTGACCTTGACTTGGTGTGTAACCTGGGTTTCTCTTGGAGTAGTGACTCCTGCTCAAGGAGCACCTTTAAGCAGCACTTAAAGGAAAAACCAAGTTTTCCTGTTTTTTTCAACTGTCCTAGTTGCAGTTGTGTGCAAAATGTATACCCCTTTTGTTGCTGTGCCTGAAAAACCCATTTGGATTTTTAAGTTGCTTGGGGCTGCATATGCTAATTTTATTGCAAGCTTCCTAACCATTTCAGGTTAAGCAGCAAAGACTGCTGAAATTTCTGTCCGTTTTCACTTGAACGTAAATAAAAGTTGCCACTCAGTCAGGAATCTTGCTTTCTTAAGTAGAAAGAATATTTTATTTTATTCCTCCTATTAGTGTTGATGTATTGTATTTATCCTAAGACCTGAATACCAGTGTAATATGTGTTTTCTGTTAAGTAAACCAATTGCACATTAGTTTGAACTTGTTATATATTTTGTGCTTCAAAGGAAAGCCGGCTATTTCACACAGAGACTTGAAATCTAAAAATATTCTAGTCAAAAGGAATGAAACCTGTGCTATTGCTGACTTGGGGCTAGCTGTGAAGCATGACTCTGTATTAAATACAATTGACATACCACAGAATCCTAGAGTAGGAACCAAGAGGTAAGACAGACAAAAAAGTAAAGTTTTTAAAAATTGTGATATGAGCATAAAACTGAAACTGTATTGGACAGATGATCTCTTGTAAATTGCTCCTCTTCATTTCAGTGATAGGTCCCCAGATTTGTGCAGTCTTGTCAATCATTCTCTAATTTTGTTTTTTTTACTTTGTTGTTGAGCATTTTTAATTATCACATGATCTATAGCCCTACACGTCTGGACAAGAAAGAATCAAACTACTGATAACTTCTCCTTGTGATCCTTCAGAAACTACTTTTGTATGACTCAGTCTATTGTTTTGCCTTGGTAAACTCTATAACCTCTTGAAACCAAATAAGGCATTTCCTTAAATAAAAGTTATGGATTGTGAGGAGCTGTAGGGTTTATTTTTCTCCAGATCTCAGGAGCAAAAACAGAACTGTAATTTATTATGGAAGGAACATTATTGCTCATTGCTGGGTATATCCTATCAAAGCAAATTGAAGCTTCTGAGAGACAATTAGGCGAATGAATCAACCTTCCTATGTCCATTTGAAAGTAATTGAACTTATTGAAATCAAGTACATTGAACATGTCTCAAATTGACCTCCACCTAATGTGAGAGTGCATATTTTGTTTTGCACTGTGGTAAATTGATGATTAATGCTATATTTGGGAACCATTTGTTCCTTTCCTATGTGTGTGATTCAAATTGATTATAGGGAAACTGCTAAAGTGGGAGGATTTGGGGGGAAATATGAATAATATTTTGAATCTTTCCTCTCAAATGCGTTCACTTACTTAAGGATATCACATGTATTATCCATTTGGATTATCCTTCCTTTAATCATGCTGCTGAATATTGGAAAGACTAATTAAATTCTCATTACCTGTGAAAAACAACTTGTAATTTTCCTTTCATCAACAAATTTATGAATTTTACTGTCTCTGTGTTTGAAAGGTACATGGCTCCAGAAATACTTGATGATACAATGAACATAAATAACTTTGAATCTTTCAAGCGTGCAGATATCTACTCTCTTGGACTGGTGTATTGGGAGATATCCAGAAGATGCTCAGATGGAGGTATGACCCATGTCTCTTATTAAGACTACTTACACTTAACCAAAACTTTTGCTTCTTACTGAATTTTTTTATTCATTTGGACATGATGTATTACATTTAATTATATAAAAAGTATAACCTGTTTTAAAGAGCTTTTAAAATAAAAAGAGGTATATTTTTTAAAAAAATCTATCATTAAGACATATTAAAAAGCATAAACGGGGTAAATACCAAAATGAACATTTAATTCACTGAGATAGAAATAGAATCAAAAAGATAAATGTTTTCAATTTTCAGAAGCACATAGAATGAGGGCAAGGCAACTCTTATTCAAAACAGTTCAGGTGATTTCAAATCTCAGAGAAGTAAATTCTGACAACATTGATTTGAACACTAAGGGGAAATAATCTTTTATATTACTATTGTCAAGCTATGAAACCTACTGCTTTTAGGACTGCTGCGTGCTTCTAGCTTGCCTACAGAGCAGGGAGGGAGACAGGGAGAACTTTGGATCCACAGGTGTTCTTATCATCATGAGAGCCAAAAAGTTGTTTTGGCGAACTAGAGTATTTTCTCATAATAATTAGTGGGAGATGTACTGGACAATGTGACCTGAACTGTCAGAGAGGGGAGAAGATTCATTCTTTCAATTAACTGCTTCCAGCCATTTCTTTAGAGCTAGTTTTCACTTTAATCCTATCAGTATGATATTGCTCAATAAAGTTTACATTAGAGAACACAATGGCTCTGGTATTTTTCTTAGTTGGGCTTTTCAGCTGGAGCTTGACAGCTATTACTTTTCTGAATTTGGACAATAGGGATGGACACTTTCTGAAATTCATGATCTTTGTCTATGGAATTTCTCAATCATCCAGGCAATGGTGGTCCTAAAGGTGCTTTTCCCAAAGGCAACCGGACTTTTTTGGAATTTTTTTTGAAAACATTTTGCTTCTCATCCAAAAAGCTTCTTCGGTTCTAAAACTGAATTTAGAACTGAAAAAGCTTCTTGGATAAGAAGCAAAACATTTTCAAAGGAAAAAAACCAAGAAACCTTTGCCTTTGGGAAAAAAAAGTATCTTTAGGATATAATCTTTGAAGAGGGGCTTCTGGTTTTGCGCAGTAGTACAGCAGCCGAGGGATCACGGGGCTCCGCACCCTGCAGTCTATTTTTTCCTGTTAGGGGACCCTAAATAGGCCTAAAGTCGCCCCAGAGAGGCAACAATGAAGGAGGGGAACCCTGTCGACTGCGGAGAGATGGCGGTCGATCCGGTCATTTGGGGAAAGCCCTCCAAAAACCAGCAGAAGAAAGGGTAGCTTCACTCCAGAGTCTAGCCCAAGCTACAAGCAACCAAAGCCAAAAGCACTAATTTAAGCTTGATCATAACATGTGTGGAACTGGGTAAGAATATTGATTCTCTCTCTTCTACTTGATAATTGATTTCCTGGGGGAAAAAAACCAAGAAACAAAAATCCTCCGAAAGTGAGAAGGAGTGGGACTCTTGCCCCACCCTCCCACAGAAGGAAGCGGCAAATTAAACTTTTATGGGGGACAGAAATATATTGAAGTGAAATGAATATAAGACTTAAATCTGGATAAGTTTGAAATTGGTGGAATTTCTTAAGATTTTCTTTTCAAAAGATTTTTGATGAAAACAAGAAAGTAATTGCTTGTTTTGAAAACTGAAAAATGAACTGGTGTTGACATCTAGTGGTGGATGAAAATATACAACTGTAGTTGCTCTAATACAGAAATTGGCAGAAAGCCCAGAAAAAGATAACTTGTTTTTGTGACCTTCAATGTCTTAACTAAACAGAGAACAGCTGCAACAAAGAAAAGAAAACATTTTGGGCTACCTACAAGGTGAGAATTATAAACCCTAGGGGGAAAATTGACCTTCCTGGATTATAAATATCTATTGAACTGTGACTTTAAAGCTGTTTGCAGAGAAAGGAAAACTTTGGTTTTTGGCTATCATGGAACTTCAGAGATCTGCAGAAAGAACATATCAAGAAAAAACAAATAATTTTCCAGGAGGAAATGTATACTATGTGGCAACTAATTCAAATGACAATGATTTCAAACCATGAGGAAATTAAAAACAACTTTGAAAATATAAATGAAAACATCTTCAATTTAACCTTGCAACAAAAAAACTCTCAGAAAATAAAAATAGGAAGCGATCAGATAAAGCAGAGAACTGAAAATAAACCAGAAGAAAGAGATTTAAAGATGGAATCCAATGATGGAAGGAATTATGACTTAACCCAGATGGAGAAAAACTTGCAGGAAATATCAGACATGGAAAAGATAACTTACACTTAAAGATTGCAAAATAAGTCTGAGGACAAGAAAAAAGATTTGACAAAATGGATTATAGAGCTGTCAGAACTATGAGAACTTGAGAGACAAAAAATGATAAGAGAAATTAAGAGAGAGAGAAAGAAAAAGATTTTCAATGAATACGAAGGGGCGAAACCCTCCCACAAAAACATCTTACTGGATTTGTCTCTTGTACTTACAACAACATCTACAAGACTATGGGAAGAAAGACTTTTTGGTCCAGCGGAGCATACAGATTAGGAAAGATGTTTGGCAAAAAAAAAAGAGAGAGGCTAAAGCTAGAATTAAGAAATTAGATGATGGGATTTATCAGATGGAATATCTAAAGGTTAAGCATTTGTTTGAATATGGTTAAAAAGATATAAGAATTCTGGATATAAATGTATCTCAGCTTAAGAGGGATATGTTTCTCAAGTAGTATACTATTTCCTTCTTTTTTCTTCTCTTTGTTGCTTTTTTTTAAGATATGAGAAATGTAAAATTGTTGGGATGGCTTGTATGAGGAAAAAGACTTAAATACTTAAGTATAATTAACTGAGAAAATCTTAACTGTTAACAATGTTTTGAATATTGCGGGGAAAACAAATCTAAATAAGAACTTTGAAAACAGGATCTATGATGAGGTAATTAAGACAATAATTAGAAAAGAAGCTTTATATTGATGTGGTTGTTAAATACTAGAAAAATGTTTACATTCACTTATTATCTATCAAAATACTAAGAAATGTACTAATTCAAGGTTAGTAAAAGAAAATATTATTGGAAGAAGAGAAAATAAAAGAAAGCTACTAGGTAGATTATGGAATTATAGAAATTAATTGTTATTGATTGTTTTTTAAATATAAATCCAGACAATACGATGTTTACCAAATATTAAGATGACTATGTTAAAAAAGCAATAAAATATTTTTTTTTAAAAAAAGGATATAATCTTTGAAGAATACAAAATTTGCTTAAGAGAGTCAGTTTGGTGTGCTGGTTGTGGTGCCAGGTTAAAACTAGCTGGGTGACCTTGAGGCAATTGTTCTCTCTCAATCCTAAGAAGCAAGTAGCAACAAACCACTTCCAAGCATCTTGCTGAGAAAATTGCAGGGGGTTAGTCCAGGCATTCGCCAGGAATCAATACTGACAAAAAGAAACAAAATGAAACTGGATTACATTTAGAAACACAGTTCAGAAATGTACTTGTATAAAATTCTTTTTCTGGTTCTTAAAACACTTCTACCATCAATGTCTGGAAGATCTCTTCCTGTCCCCCAAATATTAAATTATAACATTGTAGAATTAGATATATATTCCCGTAAAAGATTTGCGATCTCATGTTATGTTACCTTATCAATAGGGTCTGTTATTATTGTTGTATACAAATGAATCTTATCCTTCTTCTCTCAGACCATATCACAATTTGGTTAATCATCACCTTTTTTTTACTTTACATAAGAAGGATTGGTAGGGAAAAATATCTGTCAAATTCAGGATCTTGTCCATGCTACAGATTTAAATGAAGATAGTTTCCAGTTATTTTTAATTTGAGCCTAATGGCTCTAAACATTCTGCTTTTATAAGCTTATATTGTGTATACCTCTACAAAAAGTTAATATTTTGGTATTGAACAATCTTTTGAAAGAAAAACAGGTGTTGATAGAGAAACCATTCTCTTCCAAGCAACTGTCTCCAGTTGTGTTCAGAAGTAGAGGTCGGCATTTCCCCAAGGAGGTCAGGAAATTCTAACTCCCATCATGTTTGGACATTCCAAGTTATTGACAAGTTTGCAATAGAAAGTTGCATTAGGAAGTTGGTAACTATTATAGTTACAAAAGTTCTAAAACCTGTTTCCTACAATATTTGAAACGATACTAATAAATGTCTATTTGTACCTCATTACTTTCTTAGGAATTGTAGAGGAGTACCAGTTACCTTATTACGAAGCTGTGTCTTCTGATCCTTCAATAGAAGAAATGAGAAAGGCTGTCTGTGAACAAAAGCTGAGGCCAAATATTCCAAATCAGTGGCAAAGCTGTGAGGTAACATCATCACCTTCATATAATATATATATATGTATAATATAATATGAAATATATAATATAATATATATAAATTTTCAATATTCTCTAATGGTGTAAAAGAGACACAGTGTAAAGCAGGACTTAAGTCTGGGTGCCTTATACCTTCACATTCCTAAATTTCATCTAGAATAAGAAAGTGCTAACCTATCTAGAGGCACCAGGTAGCTGAACAGGCAAATGAGGATATGGACAATTGGAAGGAAGGACAATTGGAGGAGACAGGAGGACACACTATCTTTTTAACTTTCCTTACAAAATTAAAAGTGAAAAACTGCAAAAAAAAAAAAAGTACTTGGGCCTACATCAGTAGTGGGATTCAAATATGTGAATAACCAGTTCTCTATCTGGATGCCACTTCCGGAAGTCTGTTCTGGGCCTGGGCAACAAAAAATTAGCTACCGATTCTGCTGAACTGGTGCGAACCGGCTGAATCTCACCACTGGCCTACATGTATATGAAATTTCTTTTTACAACATCAGAAAGGCTGGTTTTTCAAGGAAGACAGTTTACTAATGTGGTTAGGCAGTGTGTAACTGATGAAGATCTTGTCAATTTCAGGCAGCTGTGCAAGTCCCGGGAGAGTGTTAATCAACCAATTAAGGTCAGAGGGCAGAACTTGTTAACTTATTGGTAGCACTTATTAGGGGACTGTGCTGCACTGCAAAGAAAAGGTGCTCCAGAAGAGATATCTTGTAAGATACTCAGAAAGCTGGACAATATTTGAATTTAAGATAGATGGAGGACACAAGGAGAAAAAGGACCAGATGTGGCTAAACAGCAGCTCTCAGCACTTGTTACTAGGAATTCCCTAGGAAGGTGTTCCTAGCAAAAACTGAAATGCCACCAATTGCCTGATGATAGACATAACCCTTTTCTGTTCATGTCCTTCAGCCATTGGTGTTACAAAGCCAATTGGAGATATGGCTAGTGCTTACTTGAGTAAAAGCTTGAGTAGAAAAGGAGTATAAATTGTATCAACAAATACACAATAGTAATAGTGTTTTCCATGAATTTGTCCTTTTAAAGCCATCCTACTGGATG